CACTTAACCCCCCCCCCCCCCCCCCCCCACACACACACACTCACAGATTAAGAAACGACCCATACATTTTTAGTTAGGATTGCTTAGGTCAGAATTGAGCTCCTTGTACCTGGAGAAACTTAGTATCATCTAGTGTATGTAAGTTATAAAGATGATCTGTCTACTAGAAGCTGGTGGCAACTATGCACTTGTACGCCTCTTTTTGTTGTATGATTCGAAGGTGTAACATGTGGTAGTTGTGAGATGAGATTTTATCTTGAAAGTCTTTATACTAAGAAAAAGTAGATTTTGGATCAAATGCTGAGACAAGCTATACTGCTTGTGCAAAATGCTGCAGCATATACCTGTGCACAGATAAAATTAAGCGCCGAGTCAGTTGTGATATGAATTTCCAACCACTGGTGACTCATAGCTTTGATATAGATCGACAATTATACTCAAATAATATGGTTGCCCTTCTGTTTTCACCCTTCTTGTGCATTGATTTAGTATCATGTAATTTTTTTCACGGTTAGTGACCTGATTGTTTAAACATCAAATTCTGCAGAGGTCAGTCAGATGTCCAGCCGTTTGACATCAGAATCCCGCATATATGCTGATAAGGCAAGAGATTTGAATCGTCAGGTTAGTGTCCTTCGTTTTTCAAGATGATGCACTTAAATTCTTGTGTGGTATTGTTACTTCTACCTTTTGAGTGTCGGGAATGCGAAGTGGTGCCGTTCACAGATCTGAGGGAACATGAAATTTGCTGTTCATTCTCTTAAGTTCTCTTGCGCTTGCATGTTCTTTTTTTGGGGGGTGGTAGAAAATTATATAAGCTGCTCAAACAATGTTCATTGGCATTTTTAAAACCTACCATGTATCAAGATTTTGTTGAAGATTATAGAGCTTGACTGGTTCTGCTGAGTGCTGACAGTGTGAGAATGTTTTCTATTCTTGAAGAGATACTTGATTGAACACCCAAGGGTGTGGTTAGTGGTCAATGAGATGGGTTGAGAACCGTGAGGTCTCAAGTTCAAATCCCTGGTGGACTATTTGTGCTTAAGGCTATGATAAATCAGCATGTGAATGGGCTTGTTCTAGGCTTGGGTGTCTTAGACCCAAACACTAACGAAGATGAGCAACCATGGTATCAGATGGGCTGGGCTTTCTTTCACTCTTTTTCTCGTTATGTACATGCATTTAGTCTGATGTTTGAACTTAAATCTGTTTGGTGACTGATCCATTTCTTCATGACTCAAGGCTCTGATACGGAAGTGGGCTCCCGTTGCTATTGTCATTGGAGTTGTTAGTCTCCTCTTCTGGGCTAAAAACAAGATTTGGTGATGCTGCCATCAAATATACAGCTTAGAAATGATGTTACTCCAGCATCGGACAGTGGGCAACTGACATGACCACAGTGGCCTTTGTTTTCTGCGGATGGGGAGACTCAAGACATGTCAGTTTGATAATGTAGAACAGGGGATGTGAACAATGACGACTGAATGTCGCTAATACTTGAGAAATGATATTTAATATGAATCGCTCAGCATGTATTTTTCTTAGTACTCATCAACAAAACTTGCCTTCCAATAGGTATTTGTAATTCTGAAATGCCGTTTTAGCTACTTTAGTATATGTTTGTAAATTGCAGTGGTAGCCTCATTGTCTACTATTTTGATTCGTTCCGTAGAACGGGTAGAAGTGCATAACACGAATTCTGAATATAAAGAGTTTGGGACTTCCCGACCAAATTAGACCTGTCAATCCAAACCTCAGGCAAAACCAATCGGAAGTTTGCTAGCTTTCAAATTGTCTGAAGTTTCAAGCTTAACTTAAAATTTGTATCTCTGGCTTTTGTAACTTTAAACTAGGATTTTTTTTTTCCCAGTTTTCTGAAGTTGATCTTAAAGTAGTCAAATTCACAATATTTATAAAAAACTTGGGGTCATTTGGTAGAGAGAATTAGAAAAAAAATAGTACACACATTACCTTTGTGTAATAATATAGTATACCTTTGTGTATGCCTATTATTTACTACTTCCTCAGTCCCTAATTATTTGTCTACTTTTGAATTGACTCATCTATGAAGAAAATAATGACTGACATAGTGAATTTATCATTTTACCCCTATTAATTATGAAATGAATGAATTAAAAACTTAAGATTTTCAAGAAGTTCTACCTTTTTCAAAGTAATTAATTGAGGGTAGTATAATAGATAAAAAAAAAATGTGTCATTTCTTGGTTTGTCAAAATGGACAAGTAATTAGAGACAAAGTGAGTAGTATCTTGTTTATATAACTAATGCAAGCATTTTATACACTCTATTTGGTAATGCAAGTATTTTAATACATACATTAGCATGGTTAAAGACACAATTGTCCCTTTAAACCTTTTTCACGTCTTTTCCACCATATTTGTAGAGAATATTTTTGTAAATGATTTTTTTTCTTAGAATTAAATTAATATACCATATTCAACATTATTTTTATACATTTTCCCAAACCAAACACTTCAGCATAACGAGCTCAAACATTAATAATGTCAGTATTATTATTACACCATATTAAACATTATTTTTATACATTCTCCCAAACAACCCGTTAGTTAGACTTGTCTTATCCTAAAATTGGGTATCTGTGCACTTTGAGCCTCAAGTCTCTGATTCAGCCATTCAGGCCCATGCCAAACTTTATCGATGCAGAAAACAGTCCAATCAAGCAGCAATTAGAGTACAAATTTCGGAAACACAATCCACTCAACAACGGTAATATTTTCAAATTAAAACCCTATTTGAACAATAATCTCATGAGCAAAGAAATCAACAATCAACAGAGAGCTCTTCAAGCATCATCATCCAGAAATCAAAAAATGGATTCCGAGCAGCCGTACGATGTATCGGAAAGCGATAGCGACTACGATTCCGATGATTCGCAAGATGATCCAACTTTTGATCTTCTTGAGGAGACACAATCCTCTCTTTCAAAACTCTCAATCAAAAAACAGAAATCTATGGATATGTCTGCCAGGTACAATCCCTTGATTCGATTCTCCTAAAAAACATATTAGTTTTCAATTTCGCCCAAAGAAATGACAATGAAATGTTGATTTTTCGTGTTGTTGCGAAAATGTAGGCGGAATGTTTCTAAGACATTGGAAGATTGCGTTGAGGAAGAGAAGGATCTGGACGAGATAGTACCAGAGCTTGATGAGAAGGATAAAAAAAGCTATGAAACTGTTCAGAAGATAATCAAAGGTTTTTTTCAGTAACATTGTTTTGTTTTTTAATTTACATGTTGATATGGTAGCTTTCAATCTTGGTGATTATTATTGGTTCTTTTTTATCTGACAATTTAGTATCCGAAACTCACTAGTCCGACTAATTCAGATTTGCACAACGTATGAGTCAATTAAGGAGGAAGAGCTCCTCAGTTGTGGAGCTGTGATTTTCACTAAGGGGGTTCGAAGTATAAAACGTCTAACACACGAAAAGACCAAAGGAGTTCAACCTATATTATATATATATATATATGTAAAAGATAATTTTATATAAACGGATTAAATTTCCGCCCTTGGCCCTTACTAGTTCCTCCACTGGAGCTCCATATGTATTTCTCCAACTGCAGGACACAAATTCAAGGATCCCACCACATCCTCTGGTGGTGTGATTATTGGTTGTGTAAACCTTAAAAATATTGTAGTGTTCTTTTATATGAAAGCTATAAAAAAATTCATGTATGAGACTTTTTATTTTAAGTATACACTTGTTAAGACACTCCCCTATGCAAATATATGGTTATTCATGAAAGTTTGTCTTCATTTGGTATATAAATTGTAAGACCAACCAAATGAGCTTTTTTATGATGTTGCAGATTTTTCCTTTCAGTAAGAAAGAAACTTCCAATCTTTAGAGTAAGAGAAAATTATTCAGTATTTTTCTTGCTCTATGACATACAAGACTTTGTAGTGATTGTTACTGCCTAAACTTTGTGTCCGTCGATCATCTTCTCATTTTCCAAAAGATTACAATGATTGCATCCTTCTTTTTGTCTCTGCTTCTACTTGGTGGCAGCTGGTCAGATTGAGAAATTGAAAGTGGAGCAATGCAAGGTTTACCTAAGGAAAAACGGGCTGAGATTGACGGGTACCAAAGATACACTTATCGAGCGCATTAAAGAGCACACTGAGTAATTTCCCAATTTCAGCTTTTATTTTTTAATGATCAAAACTTTTTTACTTAAGCAAATTCTATTGTATTTCAGCATCCTCGATGGTCGTGGAGAGGAAAAGTATCCCCCATCTAGTTTTGTATTGAACTGCAAAGGTACAGATGTTTTGCTATGTATAGAATATTTAAGTGGAAATAGTTTTATTGTAGCAAACATTTACGATCGTTAGTCCCTTGAAAATAACCAAGTCAAAGTTTATCTATCTGCTGAAAAGTCACATATCTCTCACCTTGCGTCTGGCGTTCCTAGTGGAATCTAGCATTATAATTTCAGCAATGAATTGGAACTTTCTGGACTTGTCATTTTCATCTATACTTTTTGTATTATGCAGGGGACGCGTGCACTGGGGATGTTGTTATGTTTGAACAAAATGTATATGAAATGTAAGCTCAAAACTCTAACAAGTGGTAGTAAGCATCTTTAGGTCTTCGTTTATGCACTTCTAAAGGCTGTGAACAACTAGTGGCAGATGTGTCATGTATAATTCTCTTCAGTTCCCTATTAGACATTTATTAGGGCAGAAGCAGTATGCGTGCATGTACTTAGCAGGTTTATGATTGTGGTTCATCAGGTTCAGCATTGCATCCAGGAGTGCTACTGGCCCTCCCTGTGGAACAAGAATAGTAGCAGGGCGGATTGTGAAGGAGAGCTATGGTGCTAAAAAGCAGCAACATACCTTTACGGTGAGCTTTTAAAAGCAATCAATTTAACAATTATTTGACTTAATCATTTCTGTTTTCGTTTCTTCTTTTTATTTGGCTTCGATGGACGTACACTTGTTGCATTGTTTCATCTTGTTTGTTTCATTGAAATAAGATTCTTTTTACTGTTGATCAGGTTGAGGTATTGTGGAGTAAAGGGGAAAAACCGCTGCCTCCACTTCATCCTCTCCTCATTAAGGGCAGAAACCTCTATAGATTAAAAACATTGCGACAGGTCTGCTGAACAGTACTAAGGATTTCTAGTACTTGCACTTATTATTCCTGCAACATATGTGTTAATGAATCATATATTGCATTTGAAGAAATGGGACGATGAAGCAGAACGGCAGAAAAATTTATCAGAGAAGCATGCCAGAGGTTCCGTAGCTCGATCTAGCAGGGAAACACGTGTCCAAGAGAAGGAAATGCGAAAGATGCGAAGGGAAAACAGGTACCATGATAATTTTGGTCATTCTAGTAAGCAGATTGGTAGAATGAACTTATGAAATATGCCAACTTCACTTGATTTTGAACATTTGAATCATTGTTATGACTAAATATCTCAGGGTAAGCACAGATTACAAGGAGAAGAAAACAGTAGCTGAGAGTAAAGGGAAACAGCTGCATTCTCGCTCGATGAACTCTTTAAACAAGAATGATCAGCCTCAGGTAGAAGTGGTGTACAACAGCCAAAAAGATGAACAAAAGCAATTCAGAAATTATACAAATGTAGTCATACAGGAAAATGTCTTCCCTAGAGAATATAGGCCAGAAGAAAGGCATAATCAGAGGCAGCCTTTGACTAATGTGAACCTGAATGATCCTAGTTCTAACAGGGAGAAGCATAACTCAAATATGCATATGCATAACTCAAATAGGCATATGCCAATGTGGAGGGGCCCTAGCTATGGAGGTAACACAAACAATTTTAATATTCCAACGTGGAGGGGCTATAGTGATGGAAGCTACAACAACTGCAATACTAGTAGAAGTCCATTGCGAGGACGTGGTCATATGTATACAGGAGGTCATGGTCATTCACAAAACTATAAATCTCCACAAAGAACTGAGAATTGGCAAGCAAGGAATGGAAAGCGTCCATTTCAAGGACAGCGCGAGGAACAGAAGCCTTGCCACTTTTATGCTCAAGGAAGATGCTACTATGGGCATAGTTGCAAGTACTTGCATGATTCTGTAGATATTTAAACATTCAGGTGAAAGAGCAGCAAGTAAGGAAGCTTTGAGAGATCTTCATAGATCAACTAATTTTTGGTCCCTTTTTTTGGGTGACAAATCTTTTGTCTCAGGGATACTGTTATTGTTCACAAAATGCTTGAAGAACAAACTAATTTTTGATTTTGTTGAACTGCTTTCTATTCCTTATGATGAATCGTCTGAATTCTAAATTTGTCACGACATAATAGATAGATTTAAAAAATATCTTAACTTATTTTGTATGGTCTCAACTAATTTCGAAAGAAAGGTAAATTGAAATCAACCAACAAATCTAAGTTATTGTGGTTCTAAGGTCTTAGTACCAACTTGGGACAAGTTTTGGTTTATAGGCTTTCGGTGGAGAAATTGATGGGATTTTAGGTGCAAAATTGGTGAGATTATAGGTAATATTTTCCCAACTCATTAGTAAATTCTCATGAAAAAAATTCAAAATAAATTTTTCGGTGCTCCAAGGTGCTAGATTCATGGGCTATTATTAACACACGAAAAATCAAGAAAGTCACGTAATACTTTCCCAACTCATTGTGAAGGTCCACATAAAAAAAAATTAGAATTTTTTTTTGGGTGCTCCAAGGCACCAAATCCATGAGCTAATACATACGAAAAACAAAGAAAGTCGCATAATTTTTAAAGTTGGTTCGTAAATGTGAAAATATGCCTTAAAATGGTGTAACTATACGTAATGCTTCCCTAACTAATTATGGAAGTCCTCATAATGTTTTATCAAGAAAAAAAATTGGGTGTTCTAAGGCCCCAGATCTATGGGTTAATACACACGAAAAAACAATAAAATCGCATAATTCCTAAAAGTTGGCTAGTAAATGTGAAAATATGTTACGTTGCGACTATACGTAATGCTTTCCTAACTCATTACGGAAGTACTCTTAAAGTTTTTTAACAAAAAAAAAATTAGGTGCTCCAAAGTGCCAGATTCATGGGTTAATAAAAATGAAAAACCATGAAAGTTGCGTAATTCCTAAAATTGGCTCGTAAATGTGAAAATATGTCTTAAAATGGTGCGACTATACGTAATGTTTCCCCAACTCATTACGGAGGTCCTCATAAAGTTTTTTCTGAAAATATTTTTAGGGTGCTCCAAAGCGTCGGATTCATAGGCTAATACACACGAAAAACCAAGAAAGTCGTGTGATTTCAAAAAGTTGGCTCGTAAATGCAAAATTATGCCTAAAAATGGTATGACTATACGTAATTCTTCCCCAACTCATTACGGAGGTCATCATAAAGTTTTTTCAGAAAAAAAAATTTGGGTGCTCTTAAGCACCATATTCATAGGCTAATACATTCAAAAAACCAAGAAAGTCGCATAATCTCTAAAAGTTGGCTCGTAAAGGCAAAAATATGTCTTGACAAATGGTGCGACTATACGTACTACTTCCCCAACACATTACGAGGTCCTCATAAAGTGTTTTCAGAAAAAAGTATTGTGTGCTCCAAGACGTCAGATCTTTGAGCTAATACACACAAAAAAGCAAGAAAGTCGCGTAATTCCTAAAAGTTTGCTCGTAAAAAAAAAATATGCCTCAAAAAAAGTGAGACTATACATAATGCTTCCCTAACTCATAACAGAAGCCCTTGTAAAGTTTTTTCAGAAAAAAATTTGGGTGCTCCAAGGTGTCAGATACATGGGTCAATACAAACGAAAAATCAAGAAAGTCGTGTATTTCCTAAAATGTGGCTCATAAATGCAAAACTATGCTTGAAAATGATGTGACTATACGTAATGCGTCCTAAATTCATTATGGAGGTTCTCATAAAGCTTTTTCAGGAAAAAAGAAATTGGGTGATCCAAGGCGTCAGATTCATGGACTAATACACACCAAAATCAAGAAAGTCGCATAATTCCTTAAAGTTTGCTCATCAATACGAAAACATACCTTAAAAATGGTGCGTCTATACGTACTACTTCTCTAACTCATTACATAGGTCCTCATAATGTTCTTTTCAAAAAAAAAAAATTGGATGCTCCAAGGAGCCAGATCTATGGGTTAATACACCTGAAAAATAAAAAAATTGCATAATTTCTAAAAGTTGGCTCATAAAGACAAAAATATGCCTTAAAAATGGTGCGACTCTACGTAATGCTTCCCCAACTCATTACAAAGGTCCTCATAAAGTTTTTTCAGAAAAAATATTGGGTGTTCCAAGGCGCCAGATCCATGGGCTAATACACACGAAAAAATAAGAAAGTTGCGTAATTCCTAGAATTTGGCTCGTAAATACGAAAAATATGCCATGAAAATGGTACGACTATATGTAATGCTTTCCCAACTCATTACAGAGATCCTAATCAAGTTTTTTCGGGAAAAAAATTTGGGTGCTCCAAGGCGCCAAATCCATGGGCAAATACACGAAATTAATCAAGAAAGTCTCGTAATTCCTAATTGTTAGCTCGTAAATGCGAAAATATGTCATCAAAAAATAGTGCAACTATACATAATGATTCCCCAACTCATTACGAAGGTCCTCATAAAGTTTTTTAAGATTATTTTTTTTGGAGCTTTAAGGCACCAAATTCATGGGTTAATACACAAAAAAACCAAGAAAACCGCATAATTCCTAAAACTTGGCTCATAAATGCGAAAATATGTCTTAAAAATGGTGCGACTATACATAATGCTTCCCCAACTCATTATAGAGGTCCTCATAAAGTTTTTCGGAATGAATTTTTGAGTGGTCCAAGACGCAAGATCCATGGGCAAATACGTGCAAAAAAAATAAAGAAAGTTGCATAATTTCTAAAAGTTGGCTCGTAAATGCAAAAATATGCCTTAAAATTGTGTGACTATACCTAATGCTTCTCCAACTCATTACAGAGGTCCTCATAATGTTTTTTCATAATAATTTTTCTTGTGCTCCAAGGCGCTAGATCCATGGGCTAATACACACGAAAAAATAAGAAGGTCACGTAATTCCTAAAAGTAGGCACGTAAATGAGAAAATATGCCTTAAAAATAGTGTGACTCTACGTAATGCTTCCCCAACTCATTATAGAGATCCTAATAAAGTTTTTTCAGAAAAAAATTTTGGGTGCTCCAAGACGTCATATCCATGGGCTAATACACACAAAAAACTAAGAATGTCGTGTAATTCATAAAAGTTGGCTCGTACATGTGATGCCTTAAAAATGGTGTGACTATACGTGATGCTTCCCCAACTTTTACGGAGGTTCATAAAGTTTTTTTGAATGAATTTTTAGGTGCTGCGAGACGTCGGATTCATGAGCTAATACACACGAAAATTTAAGAAAGTCGCGTAATACCTAAAAGTTGGCTTGTAAATGCGAAAAATGTGCCTTAAAAAATGGTGCGCATATACGTAATGTTTCCCCAACTCATTACGGAAGTTTTCATTAAGTTTTTTCAGAAAAAAATTGAGTGCTCCAAAGCACCAGATCTATGGACTAATACACATGAAAAAATAAGAGAGTCACATAATTCCTAAAAGTTGGATCGTAAATACGAAAATATGCCTTAAAACAATGACGCGACTATACATAATGCTTCCCCAACTCATTAAGGAAGTCCTAATAAAGTTTTCTTAGAATTTGTTTGGGCATTTCAAGGCACCTTATTCATGGACTAATATACACTAAAAAACAAGAAAGTCGCGTAATTTCTAAAAGTTATTTCTTAAATGCAAAAATATGACTTTAAAATTGTGTGACTATACGTAATGCTTCCCCAACTCATTACGGAGGTCCTCAAAAAGTTTTTTCAGAAAAAAATAATTTGGGTTCTCCAATGCGCCATATCCATGGGCTAATACACACGAAAAAAACAAAAAAAAAGCGTAATTCATAAAATTTGGCTTGTAAATGTTAAAAAATACCTTAAAAAGATGGTGCGACTATACGTAATGCTTCTCCAACTCATTACGGAGGTCTTTGTTAAAGTTTTTTCAAAAAAATATTGTGGGTGCTCCAAGACGCTAGATCTATGGGCTAATACACAAGAAAAACCAAGAAAATCACGTTATTCCTAAAAGTTGGTTCGCAAATGTGAAGATGTCTTAAAAATGGTTCAACTACACGTAATTCTTCCCCAACTCATTACGGTGGTCCTCATAAAAAATTTTGATAAAAAAAAAATCATGTGCTCCAAGGCACCAAATCTTTGGGCTAATACACACGAAATTCCTAAAAGTTGGCTCGTAAATGTGAAAATATGATTTAAAATGGTGTGACTTTACGTAATGCTTCCCCAACTTATTACGGAGATCCTCATAAAGTTTTTACATAAACAAAAATTGGGTGCTCCAAGGCGCCAGATCTATGGGCATTACACACGAAAAATCAAAAAAGTCGCGTAATTCCTAAAAGTTGACTCGCAAATGCTAAAATATGCCTTAAAAAATGGTTTGACTATACGTAATGCTTCTCAGCTCTTTACGGAGGTCCTCATAAAGTTTTTTCAGAAAAAATTTTGGATGCTCCAAAGCGCCAAATCTATGGGCTAATACACACGAAAAACCAAGAAAGTCGCGTAATTCCTATAAGTTGGCTCGTAAATGCGAAAATATTAATCCCTCCCCAACTCATTATTTGAAGAAAAAAATTGGGTTATCCAAAGCGTCAGATCCATGTGCTAATATGCACGAAAAACAAAGAAAGTCGCGTAATTTCTAAAAGTTGGCTCGTAAATGCGAAAATATTCATTAAAAAAATAGTGTGACTATATGTAATGCTTGCCCAACTCACGGAGATCCTCATAAAGTTTTTTCTGGAAAAAAATTTGGGTGCTCCAAGCCGCCAGATCCATGGTGTAATATACACGAAATACCAAGAAAGTCACATAATTCCTAAAATTTGGCTCGTAAATGCGAAAATATGACTTGAAAAAATGGTGCAACTAAACATAAGAATTCCCCAACTCATTACTGGGGTCCTCAAAATGTAAAAAAAAAGGGATGCTCCAAGGCGTTAGATACATGAACTAATGCACATTAAAAACAAAGAAAGTCGCGTAATCCACCACAAGGTGAAATCAGTACCAACTTGGGACAAGTTTTGGTTTCTAGGCTTCAGTGGAGAAATTGATGGGAGTTTAGGTGCAAAAAGAATGGCAAGATTGCCTCCAAGGGCATAGTTGAGTGGTTCGAAGGGATTGATTC